ATATATATATATATATGACAATAATGTATTATCATTAGAGGCTAAAGAGTATAGAATGTTTGTGCATTTTTGCGACACTCGACAATTTCAAACATCGATAGAGCGAACGTAATATAATTCACGATTGGCTATACATGAAATATCCAACACATAGTGTTTGTTATAATATTTAATAGATGAAATATTTAATAGATCTGATAGAATATTTGATAGATTTCTATTTAAGCCCGATCTCTTTATTTTAAGTTTCGTCGAAGAGATAAAATTGTACGAGTATTTGCGGTTTGAGTATTTCGGAGTAAGGTGAGATTAATCTACTCCAATAAGTAGAATTATAAAATCAATGACGAACAAGTGTTAATATATTTACGTAACATAATATCAGTTAATGTCGTTCATAATCATCGAATCAGAGATCTGAGAATTTATTACTATTATGTGCAACAGTGTTTGAGAGCACTTGTATTTCGTGTTACATATGTTATACAATTCTTGGAAATACTGTACAATTTCCTCTAACATACAATCTCGCGATATAAGTCAATGGATATCGTTATCAAAAGTTCTAAAATTTATGAAATTCCACGCAGAATGTGCGTACATATAAAATGCGTGCTATTAATAAAAAGTGGATAGGCCAAATTCTAGTCCAGAAACTAAATTAAACATTGATAAATGCAGATTCTTTTTATTAGATTAAGCATCCTGTAGTCCGGTTGATATCGATATACGAAGTGACTTTTCTAATTAAGAAACGCAAATTCTTTGTTACAGGCATCGTGCACGACACGACGAGCCAGAGGACACGGGGAAATCGGAACTCCGCGCATGCCCCTACAGTGGCTGCGCTTTCAAAACGAAACTCGCTTCTCATTTGCAGCGGCACGTGCGTCTCCACACGGGCACAAAGCCTTACAAGTGTCGTCATTGTCCGTACGCGAGCAACAACTTGGTAAGTTCGAAGGCAACTGCTGCGAATCTACACTCCTTGGTCTTAACACTAGAGCTACCAAAGCGGTCGAATTGGCCAATTCATCATTTTCCGTGGGAATCTTATATATTTGTAACAGCAGTGTTTTTAGATCCACTCGATTGATCTTTAACGCAGCACACATTTAACATTGATTCGTCTAAGACGTCGAAATCAGTGGCCAAAGTAATCGATTTAATAATTAAGGTCTGTCGATAAGAGAGCATATGCACGATACGAGTCATTATTAACAAGAATTGACTTACACTGATCAGCTTGAATTTGAACTTTCCGTATCTGTGTATTTCCTACTGCACGTATCATCTGATTCGTCCATTTTCGACAGTTTTCGCAAAGACACTAGAAAGGAAAAAGAAGAATAAATAAATGAAACTCCAAATATAGAAGCTTATTAAAGAGTTCAAGATATACGAGTTTTCGGAGTAAAAAGAAACGCCATTGTTACGGTTAATAAATTCTTCAAGTACTTCAAGTATAAAATATCATCTGTATGTACAACAAACGTGCATAAATATTCTTCTGCGATAAATGATAAATTCTTTATACTTGTATATAAATGATCGTTTATATAACAAACATAATATATACATGTATTATAAATATTAAAATCGCGATCTACTATATATGTATATAAAGGATCGTTTGCACTTGCAATATATATATATATATACACACGTGCATAAATGTTTCTTCTACGGTAAACGTTCGTGCGTACAGATTTCGCGCTAAGGAATAGAACTTAATCTAATCTCTAATTCACACGGATTGCGAGCTTTCACGCAGAAGATGACCTTAGTCGCTGACAATACGCTCAGTCAAGCCTTACATTCGAGATCCTTGGACGACACGACGTGGAACGACGCGAATTACACGACGATCGAATGGAAACCGAGGCGAAAAGATGGGGGCTT